GATTTGAACTTAGGTCCTCCTGACTCCAGGGCCAGTGCTCTATCCACTGTGCCACCTACCTGCCCCCCCTTCTTAGTTTTCTACTCCCCTAAATGCCCCATGAGTGTATCATGCCTCCCCATTCCTCTGCTCTCACTGATCTCTATGACTCTATCCCTCCACCAGGTCTTTGTGTGGCTCAGCCTGTCCAGGTTAGAGTTTTCCAAGAATTCCACTTACATCTTCGCCTTCCCCGCTCTGTCCGAAGATTTGAGCAGATAGAGCTTCGACCTGTCATCTATAACTATTGGAATAAGAACTTGTCTGTGAGATTACATGGGGAGTGGGAGAAGCAAGTGGGGAACTGAGAGGAGAGGGCTACTTGATCCCCGTGATTCTCTTCATTCCTCCCTCCTGTCTCTACCTCCCCCTCACCTCCCAGGTGAATGTCCAGGTGTCCCCTGTAGAAGGGCTCTGCCTTGCCGGTGGTGGTGGCAGAGTGCTAAAGCTGGAGGTGCCTGCTACCTCAGCACGGCCTGTCTCCTTTCCCGTGGTGCCCACGGCTGCTGCTGATGTGTCTCTGAAGGTCCTGGCCCAGGGCCCTTTTGGAGATGCTGTGTCCAAGGTCCTGCACATCGAGGTGAGAGATGAGACCCTGGACCCATCCTCCAACCTTACCTACCTAACAAATTCCTTCCTCAAACACATTCCTAAGTCCCCAAAAGTGAGACCCCAGTTCCCTTTCTCATGGGACCAGTCCTGAAAATCTTCTGCCTGGCCCTCCTGCCTACTCCTAAATCCTAGGCCAGCAGCTCCTCTCCCTCTTTGCTGCATGCCACCCCACCCCACAAAAGTCTCTGCAGCCCAAACCCTAGAAACAAGGGTTGAGAGTAGTCTGAGACAGAGATGGCTCAGGCCTTGTCTCCTTGGCTTTTGAGTGATCACTTTTGCTTTCCCTTAACCTGACAGAGAGAAGGAGCAGTCCAGATAAAGGAGTATACCTACAAGCTGAACCCCCTAGGTGAGTGATCCCCCAGACTCTTACTCCCTAGGGTTCATGCCTCATTTCTTGGTCCCTACTAATGTCTGTCTCACCTCAGAGTATTTGAGGAGTAAGATTTGAGGGAGAGTATTTAAGAATCTCCAGGGATGGGGGAGTATGATATGCCCTTTCCTGGATCCTTGACTTCCTACTTTTCTTTAGACTTCCGTGGCCGGAGCTTCGATATTCCTGGGGAGAATCCATCCAATGCCATCCCCGATGGAGACTTCAGTAGCATTGTTCGTGTTACAGGTAGTCAGTTCTGCTGACTCCAGATCCCCAGGTTGCCTGACCCCTAATTTTCCTCCAGTAACTTCTAATCCATCTTATTCCCCCAATTGCCTTACTCTGACCCCTATTGATGCTCCCCTTTTCCTATCCTATGGCCTCTGAATCCCACAGTAATCTCATGACCCTTCTGCACTTCCAGTCTTTCATCTTGAAGACTTCAGTCATGGATTCTTTTCTCTTTTGTCCTGTGTAGCCTCTGAGCCCATGGAAACCCTGGGCTCTGGGGGGGCCCTCTCACCAGGAGGGCTGGGGTCTTTGCTGAGGGTGCCCCGGGGTTGTGCAGAGCAAACCATGGTCTACCTGTCCCCCACACTTGCTGCTTCCCGATATCTGGACAAGACAGAGCAATGGGGGAAGCTGCCTCCTGAGATGAAGGACCATGCAGCAGATCTCATCCAGAAAGGTGTGAAGTAAAAATAGGGGGATGGAAAAGACATGGGTGAAGGTGAGGGTCAGGGGATTTGAGAAAGCACAAGATAAGAAGAGAAAGTGGGAAGAACCTGGGACAGTTGGAGAAAAGTAGAGAACCAAAAAACATTGTTGGGGGGTTGGAGGGTGGAAAGAGACAGGATGTGGAATGGAAACCAGCAGCTCTTTTCTGTCCCCCAAGGCTATGCCCGTATCCTGCAGTTCAGGAAAACAGATGGCTCCTATGGGGCTTGGTTGCACCGGGATAGCAGCACTTGGTGAGATGGACCCCTAGGGAAAGAGCAATGATGAGAGGGTGGGAAGAGATTTGGGCAGGACAACAGGGTTTCCCAGTGAGGGGGGACTGGGAATGGTAGTATGAGAACCAAAAGCTGGGGGGCTGCACTGACTCCTACCTCTCCTTCTCTCAGGCTCACAGCCTTTGTCCTAAAAGTGCTCAGCATAGCCCAGGAGCAGGTGGGTGGCTCTGTGGAAGGGCTAAGGGAGACAGTCCAGTGGCTTCTGACAAAGCAGCTTGGCGATGGCTCTTTTCAAGACCCCTGTCCAGTTATCCACAGGGATATGCAGGTGCTGGGGTCAGGGGTGAGGTGGAGAAAAGGGGAGGAGGGGGCTTGGTCCCTGGGTGAGGGTGGGAGAGAGCTAAGAAGTGTCAAGTCTGCTGGAGGGCAAGGTCATGGAAGGCTCTTCCCCTGCCCCCAGTGGTGATATCTTATTTCTCTCTCTCTCTCTCTCTCTTTCTCTCTCTCTCTTTCTCTCCCTCTCTCTATCTTATACCTTTGTTCTATTCTTCCAGGGTGGCCTGGTGGGACCAGATGAGTCTGTGGCCCTAACCGCCTTTGTGGTTGTGGCCCTCCAGCATAGCTTGACTGCCTTCCAGACTTCTGAGGATGATCCCAACAAGGAGAGAATCAAGGAGCAGCTGCAGAAAGTGGTAGATGCAACATTCATCTTCCCTGCTCCCAAACTCTTCCCTGAAAATCCTATATCCCTCAGGGAGCCAGAAATTCAAAGAGCCCTTTTCCCCCCTAGAAAGCCTCCATCTCACGTGCAGACTCATTCCTGGTGGGAAAGGTAACTGCTGGGCTCCTGGGATCTCATGCAGCTGCCATCACAGCCTATGCCCTGACCCTGACTAAGGCCCCCAAAGATGACCAGAATCTTGCCCATAACAATATTATGGCCATGGCCCAAGGAGAAGGAGGTAAGTGCCCAAGGACCCAGTCATGACCCTGGGAGCTAATAGATGAGTCTGGACTCTTGTGTTGGAAGGAAATAAGCACCTACTGTGTGCCAGGCACAGTGCTAAGTGCTTTATAAATATCATCTCATTTGGTCCTCACAACAACCCTTTGAGATGGGTCCTAGTATTCCCATCTTACAGATGAGGAAACTGAAGCAGATAGAGGTTAAGTGGCTTGCTCAGGGTTGTACTAGTAAGTGTGTGAGGCTAAACTTGAACTCAGATCTTCCTGACTCCAGGCCCAGTGCTCTATCCATTGTACCACCTAGCTGCCTAGAAAACTGAGTCCAGTGTGAAAAGATTTAAAGGTCTGTGGCAGGAACAGTCCGGGCTGGGGAGGAGTCAACAACTTGTAGGGCAGGATGAAAGAATTCCTGAGGACCAAACTTCAGAAATAACAAAGGAAGGGACCAGACTTTGGGCCTCAGAAGAAATTTAGGAGAATAGCAGGCCACTCTTGGGATAAAATAATAATAGCCAAAAAACTGAGGAGAATTTGAAGATAAGTAGGCATAAGCATTGTGACTGTATTTCTGACCCTGTGACTATTTCTGTCTCTATCTCTCTTTTCTGCCTCTCTGCTTTTATCTTGCCTGCACCTCACAGATGAACTATACTGGGGTCCAGTTGATGGGTCTCAAAATAATGCTGTCTCACCAACTCCCAGTGCTGGCGGCAGCCCCTCGATTCCCACTCCACTGGCCCCAGCCCTGTGGGTGGAAACAACTGCTTATGTATTGCTCCATCTCCTGTTGCGAGAGGGGAAGGCTGAGTTGGCTGATCAGGCTGCAGACTGGCTAACCCACCAGGCGAGCTTCCAAGGGGGATTCCGAAGTACCCAGGTAAGGTAGGGGAGGGAGGCAGGGTGGAAGGAGATCTCCCTAAGTTCTAGGCTGGAGAATAATGTGAAGTTTTCCAGGACACAGTAGTTGCCCTGGATGCCCTGGCGGAGTACTGGATTGCCAGTCATACGACCGCAGAGACCACGCTCAATGTGACCCTGAGTACTCAGGGTCGCCAAGGAACTAAGGACCACGTCATCCAGTTAAACAACCGTCAAACGGGGCTAGAGGACAATCTGCAGGTGACAAGCCCTTGGATTGGTAGCTGAGGCTGTTGGGGACTGGGGTGGGGGTGCTTTGTAGCCCTCAGAAGTGAGCCTAGAGTTACTGCCTCCTACCTGTGCCCCACCCAGCCTTAGCTGCCGACATCCTGTCTCCTCCCCACTTGTTCAGCCTCAGATCTGAGAGGGTTTAGCTGCTGCTAGGGAGTGTGGGTGGGGAGAGGGGCACTTATATAGCTCCTATTCTCTTCTCCCTCTCCCCCATTTTCTAGACGTCCCTGTTTTCCTTTCCTCCTATCATCTCCCTGTCTCTTAGCTAATTTCTCTGCCACAGAAGAGGGAATGAGTTGGGGAGTGGGCAGACAGCTTTTTTTTTCTCCTTTGACATGTTTTTCTCTTCCTACTGTCCAAAAGTTCCCCTTGGGCAGCAAGATCACCGTCAAGGTGGGAGGAAATGGCAAAGGGACCTTAAAGGTGAGAATTGGAAAGGCTCCTGGTACCACAAGAGGTGGGAGAAGAGGCCTGGGCAGGAGGTGGCAGGTGGGCCAGAGAGATGAGCTGTGTTTAGGAGAGTCAGAGTTAAGACTTACTGTTGGCTTTGTATTCCCTGCACTTAGCACAGTGCCTGGCACATTTTAAGTGCTTAGTAAATACCTGTTGATACTGACTGCCTGGAAGGCAGGGAGGGAATTCCTGTTTATTCAGGAAGGGAAAGGACATCAGAGACCTCTCAGCCCAGGGCAAACACTTCATCTTAGAGCTGACATCATGTAGTCTAACCAGCTGTATCATGGAGAAGACCTATGGTGTGGGCTGAGTGGGAGAAACTGGTAGGTGTGGATCTAAATAAGATAAGGAATAGGGGCAGCTAGGTGGCGCAGTGAATAGAGCTCTGGCCTTGGAGTCAGGAGGACCTAGTTCAAATCCAGCTTCAGACACTTAACACTTACTAGCTGTGTGACCTTGAGCAAGTCACTTAACCCCAATCGCCTCACCCCCCCCAAAAAAAGATAAAAAATAGGGACAGAATGATCTGGATTTCCCCCTCTCCACCCCAAATAAAATCAAAACCAAATCCCTTCTTCCACCCCAAGATTCTACGTAAGTTCAACATCCTGGAAGAGAAAAATACCACTTGTAAGGACTTCAAGCTGGAAGTGACAGTCATAGGCTCTGTCCAATATTCAGGTGAATGCAGGGTAAGAGGGGGGGTCTGTGTGTTTGGGTCCCTGAGGGAAGTGGGGGCCACTGGATCCCTTCTCATGCCCATGTTTCAATGCTAGCGGCATCAAATGATGACTATGAATACTATGAGGAGGAACCCCAACTTGGAGATGACCCAAGTCCCTTGGCGTCCCCTGTGACACCCCTGCAACTATTTGAGGGGCGTCGGAACCGCCGGAAGAGGGAAGTGCCCAAGGCAGGAGATGAGAAGGAGGAGAGGGTGCATTATGAAGTGTGCATCTGGTGAGTGCCTGTAGGCTGGAGTGAGGGCAGGTACCTGAGGGAGGTAAGAGCTTGGAGGTGGGTGGGGAGTGAAGCCAGGGACTGGATGATCAGATGCTACATCCCAGGATGGTAAACAGGAGGGCAGGCAGAGTCTGGATGGAAGGGGGTTGTTATGGCAGGGGTTGAGCCTTGGGGTCAGGGTTGGATAGTGGGGAGGAGAGTACTTGAGGGTCAGTAGAAGCTGGAGTCACCCAAAGTATCTCCCCCCAAAGGCGAAGTGATGGGGTCAGATTCCCTGGAATGGCTATTGTAGATATCACTTTGCTGAGTGGATTCCATGCCCTGCAGTCTGATCTAGAAAAGGTATGATCATCCTTCTTCCTCCCAGTTGGGTCACAATTATCTTGTTATCTCTGGAATCATAGGTTCTGGGTTCAAATCCTATTTCTGACATTTACCTATGGGACCTTGACCTATTCATTTAATTTCCTTGTGCTTCATCTATAAAATGAGAGGATTGAACTAAGATGGTCCCTGAGAAGCCTTTCAGCTCTCGATCTATGTCCATACCTTCTGTGACCTTCCAGTTGTGTTCAGGAACCCAAGAGTTTAGGCTCTCTCCTCTCTGCCCAGACTCAACTATTTCAGCTCCTACAATTAGTCAGTTATTCATGTCTAGGTGAGGCAGTCGTGCTAGGTACTGTCCTTGTTCCCCTTTTCTCCTTCAGTGGCTCTGGTCCTTTCAGTGGCAAGCTCTGTGGTGTTTCCTTGACCTCAGTTTTTTCTCCCTAGTTGACCTCGCTCTCAGATCGTTATGTGAGTCACTTCGAGACCCAGGGACCCCATGTCCTGCTATACTTCGATTCGGTGAGTGTGTGTGTGTGTGTGTGTGTGTGTGTGTCCACGGGGGGAGGATTGAGGGGTACAGAGGGAATCTAGCAGCCTCTGCTCTGTATACTCCATGTTGTGCTGAGCATCTAGGGAATACAAAGACACAGTCCCTATTCTCAGAAAACTATCAGTTTAGTTAAGACAGAGAAAACTCATATATAATTATAACTGGGCCCTCACTGTGGCAAGGCGTTCCTTTTATACCTCCTGAATTGATTGACCATTCTCCTCACCACAGCGGCTTTTCCAGATCTTTTCCTTTCTCCTCAGACTGCCCAAAGTTCCCCCTCCCAACAAGAACCATTCCTCATATTTTACTGAAAAGAACTGGGATCATTTGAGGGACCTCTCTCTTTTCCCCCTTCCTCATCTCACATTTCACTGACCTCATTCGACTGAAACTTCTCTTTCCAAAATTACTAATGATTTCTTAATTGCCAGATCTAATGGCCTTTTCTTAATTGTCATTCTCTTTGGCCTCTGTAGCTTCTGATGCTGTCAATCTCCATCTTTTCCTTATACTCTCTTTTCTCTAAGTTTTTGGGACTTCACTCTCTTGGTTTTCCTCCTACCTGTCTGATCTCTCCTTTTCTGTCTCCTTTGCTGGATCTTCATCCAGTTCAGGTGTGCTAACCCATGGTGGTCACCCAAAGTCTCTCTCCTGGGCCCTCTCCCTCTTTTCTATTTCATTTAATGATCTCATTAGCTCCCATGGCTTCAATTATCATGTCTATACAGATGACTCTCAGATTTACTTGTCCAGCCCCAACCTCACCAATTTCACGTTGCTAACTACCTATTAGACATCTGGAACTGGATGTTTCATAGACATTTTGCTTTTGTAACATTTCTTGTATGAGCCCCCTAATCTCTGGTGACACTGCTCCTACCATAGTGCAGGCCCTCATCACCTCCTGCCTGGACTATTGCAGTAGCCTGCTGGTGGGTCTTCCTGCCTTAAGTCTTTCTCCATTCTAATCCCTACTCCACTCAGCTGTCAAATTGATTTACTGGAGTGCAGGTCTGACCACGTTACCTCCCCACTCAAATCAACTCCAGCGGCTCCCTATCATCTCCAGGATCAAGTTGAAAATCCTGTTTGACACTAAAAGCTATTCATAACTTAGCCTCTCCCCTACCTTTCAGTTTTCACATGCCTAACATTCTCTCCATCTCCCTATACTCCAAGATCCAGCGACATTGGCCTCCCTGCTGTTCCTTGGCCAAGTCACTCCATCTTCTAGCATCTTCACTGGCTGTCACTGAGGCCTAGAATGCTCACTCTCTGCATCTCTACCTCCTTGTTTCCTGGTTGTTACATTTTAGTTATGTTAGACTCTTAATGACCCCATTTTTGTGGGATTTTCTTGGCAAGGATACTGGAGTGGTTTGCCATTTCCTTCTCTAAGGGCCCCCTATTTTATAGTTGAGGAAACTGAGGCAAATAGAGGTTAAGTGACTTGCCCAGGGTCACACAGCTAGTAAGTGTCTGAGGCTGGATTTCAACTCAGGTCTTCTTGACTTCAGGCCTAGCATGCTACCCGCTGTGCCACCTAGCTGCCTCTCTTATTTTCTGAACTTCTTTCAAATTCCAGGTGAAATCCTACCTTCTACAGGAAGCCATTCCCAATTCTCTTTAATTCTAATACCTTCTCACTGAGATTATCTCCAGTTTATCCTGTGTGTAGTTTGTATGCTGTGTATAGTTTGCACACTGTCTACCTCATTAACCTGTGTCCTCTGTGTGAAGGGACTCCTTTTTGCCTTTCTTTATATCCCCAGCATTTAGCACAGTTTTTGGCAAATAGTAGGTGTTTAATAAATGATAGTTGACTGATGTGAAACAATGGGAAACAATATAAGACAGTATATAACTCAAATAACTTTATATTAACTTTATATATATAACTTTAAAGTTTATAAGGCCCTTTGTTTCAATGAAAAGTTAACTAGAGGGAAAAGCAAGACAAATCAGATCACACAGAACAAAGAACGGATGAGTTTATAAAGTACCGAGATCTAATTCTTTTGTAGATCCAGCTTAGCCACAGATTGGTGGACTGAAAGTCAACATTGAAAATGTTCATTCAGTCATCCATTTATTTATTTATTCATTCATTTATTTATGTATTTATATTTTTATTTTTTTTTTGGTTAGGCAATGGGGTTAAGTGATTTGCCCAGGTCACTCAGCTAGTAAGTGTTATGTGTCTGAGGCCGGATTTAAACTCAGGTCCTCCTGAATCTAGGGCCAGTGCTGTATCCACTGTGCTACCTAGCTGCCCCATTCATCCACTTATTGAGCATTTATTCTCTCTCTTTCTTTTTTTTAAATTTGTTTTTTGTTTTTTATTTTTTTTTAGGCAATTGGGGTTAAGTGACTTGCCCAGGGTCACTCAGCTAGTAATTATTGAGCATTTATTAAGTCTCTACTGAGAAATTGAATGAATTAGAATAGCCAATGAGGAAACAAAACTGTCACTTGGTGTTGTTCCCACATGATGCTCCGTTTCCCACTATCAGGCCTTTTCAACTGACTGTCATTTTAGACCAAATGGCACCTTCTGCAAGAAGCCTTTCCTGGCCTCTCAGCTGCCCATACCTTCTTCTCTAAGGTCATCTTCCATCTACTCAGCATCATAGATTTATAGCTAGAAGTTTTTTGCACTCCACCCTTTTATTTTGCAGATGAGGAACTTGAAACCAAGAGAAATTAAATGACTAGCTCAGGTATATATAATTAGTAATTAGCAAAACCCAGATTTGACCCTGGGTCCTCTGATGCCAAATCAAGTGCTTTTTCTCTCTACATGATACTATCTCTAGATTAGAATAACAGACCAAAATGAAGAGGGAGCAGAGAGCAAGGAGATAATGGAGAAAGCTAGCAAAAGAGAAATAGTAGACTAGGGGGCAGGGATGGTCTCAATAGCAACTTGAGCATCCTTGCACTGTGACTCCAGGTTTCGGCATCTCGGGATTGTGTGGGCTTTGAGGCTGTGCAGGAGGTGCCCGTGGGGTTAGTGCAGCCGGCGAGCGCTGTTCTTTATGACTACTATGAGCCTGGTGAGTGGAGAGAGGGAGTGTGGGAGAACCTGGGCCTCTGCCTATGGTGGGGCAGGAACAGAGAGGAAGGGAAATGATGGGATAGCATGGGATCTACAAGGACCTTGGGCATTCTGGGAAAGCATAGGATTATTTGGAATTCTTGACTGATTTGGAGATGGAAAGGGAATCCTGAACTTGAGGCTCCCTCCTTCTTCCATATTGTTGTGCCATGGACTTTTCCTCCTCTTCTCCATGGAGAAGTAGGAGGGAAAATGGGGAGACAGGTTTGTGACTCTCTGTGACTTCTTCCTCACCACAGGAGAGAAATGTGTTGTGTTCTATGGGGCCCCGAGTAAGAGTAAACTTCTATCCACACTATGTTCTGGTGATGTTTGCCAGTGTGCAGAAGGTGAGTTATAAGCAATAGTGGTTGGGTAAGGTATGTTACAGGGGGAATATGATACATACTTTTTGGAGCTTGAACGAGAGAGAAATGGAGGCATAATGCTTCATTTCTGTGTTACTATTCCCTCCTTCCTCACAAAGGGAGAAAGCAAGATTAACAAAACTGTTATAAACACATATAGCTAAGCAAAGCAAATTTCTGCATTGGCCATATCCAAAAAAACCCCAAAGTAAAAAAAAAAAAGTCTATCTGTGTTTTGAGTGTATGTTTCATCCTGAGTTCTTTGAAATTGTGGTTGGTCATACACATAGTTGTTTTTTTCTCTCTCTTTCTTTGCTCATTACATCTTTTGTTTTCCCCTTTCTTAGGTAAATGTCCTAAAAAATACCAAATCACAGAAGTAGAGAAAATGGAGGAAGAGTCCAGGATGAACTACGCCTGCTACGATCCACGTGTGCATTATGGTGAGTTGATAGCCCTCAGGCTCTTGCCTTTTCCTTTAGGGATCCAGGAAGCCTAAGTCCTCTAGTTCTCCAACTTTTTCTAGCCCCCTCCCACCCCTCAAGCTTTTGACTTAGCATCCAACCATATCAAGTGTAATTCTCTCAATCCCTGGAGTGACCTCTGCCCCCTTCTTCCCAATAACAGGTTTCCAAGTTGAGGTTCTCCGTGCAGAGGACAAAGCCTCCTTCCGACTCTTTGAAACCAGGATCACTCGTGTCCTACACTACAGTACTGACAGGGGCTGCAAAAGCTGGGTGGGGGTAGCTGGGGAATGGAAATGTGGATGGCAGGGGGATATCCTTGCCCTTCTAATATCTTCTCTTTCCCTTGTCATTCCCCTAGCTCAAGATATCAAAGCCAGTGTTGGTCAGACTCGAAACTTCCTGGTCCGAGTCTCATGTCGCCTGCAGCTGGAGCCTGGGAAGAAATATTTGATCATGGGGCTTGATGGAGTCACCTTTGACATTAAGGAACAGTGAGTTATCTGTGACCCAGAGAGACCCTGCCCCTTATGTCCTTGTTTTTTCTTCCTCCTTCCCTCTGAGGACCCAAGCCTCCCTTGGGGACTCATGGACCCAAGCCTTCCATCCCTCTTAAGCTCACATCCCTTACTACCTCTTTCGTACATAGGCCCCAGTATTTGTTGGACTCCACGACTTGGATTGAGGAGATACCTTCTGAAAAGAACTGCCAGGCCCTGCGATATCGGTCTTCTTGTGCTAACCTCCATGAATTCCTCCGGAAATATGAAACACAGGGATGTCAGGTTTAGGGGGTGACATCCTCTCCCTCCCCTCCCCTACCTCCATGGAGTTTTCTCACTCAAGGTATCCTAAATCTTGTCATTTACACCTGCCCTACACTCTCTCATCTCTTCTTCCTGAAAGGAAGGGAGATCTAGTTCCTTCAGGACTATACTCTTGACTTCCTTTTTCCCTCCTATCCTCATCTCCCGAACTAGAAACTAGGACAGAGAGGAGCTCAATAAAAATTTGCTTGATGACCAAGTCAGTGGTGTTTGTGTTTTCTCTGACCCCTGTGACTTTCTCTGGGACACTGCTCTTGGACATATGACCTCTACCTCTATGACCATTGTACCACAGTTCCACTTTCCCTAACCTTTTCTCTTACCCAGTTACTGTGACCCCTTCTAGCTTCTCCCAGACTCATTCTTCATTCCTTTGACCTTTTAGCAAATTCTGACACTTAGGTATCCTCCCACATCTTCTCACCCACCTCTACTCTTCTGCCTATTTTATTACTCAGCCAGCTACCCATCCTTACCTTTAGTGATATGTCCATTATAACTTTGGAATTGATCCCATTGGGAACATGTTTCTCTCAGCATTATATTACACATTTCATGGCAACAAGTTCCTTCTTTCCCTGCTCCATTTTGCTTGAATTATTCACCAACCTGTCCTCTTTCCACTTTGGTCTACTCTCCTATTATTCCTTATTCCCTTCCTTCTCTTTCCCTTAAGACCTATGCTTCCCCTGGCTCTGGCTGTATTTTCCCTCTGGCTCTCTCTTTCTCTGTGGCATCCCACCTCTTGCTTTGTCCTCTCTCACATCTTCCACTGGTACATATAACATAATACAATGAACACCAACCCACTGTTAGCCGTGCATTCTGCTAAATATTGGGGAAATAATCGATTAAGAAACAGCGAACTCCTTGACATAAATGATCTCACCTGAGCCTTACAGTCATATCATGAAATAGATATTATCCCCATTTTACAGATGGAGAACTGAGGCTCAGAGAGGTTGTGAGTCATTTGTGGCCACATGGCTAGTAAGTGTCAAAGTAGGGATTTAAATGCTTGTTTTCCTAAGTCCAGCATTGTGCCCACTATACCACACTGCCTCCATGGCAGAAACCAAGGATGGATAAGGAAGCATGTGGTTAAGGTTATCCAGACCTTGTTTCTGCCATGGAGGCAGTATGGTACAATGAGAAGATTACTGATTTTGGAGACAAAGGGCCTAGGTTCAAACACTCATTCTGTTATTTACTATCTGTGTGACCTTGGGCAAATCATTTAAACTTCTCTGGGCCACAGTTTGTGTAGAACTTGTGGAACTGGGGAGTGAGGGTAGGGGTGGGAGGTGTCAGATTAGTGAGCTCTAAGGTTCCTTCTGACCCTAAATCTTGCTTTGTTTTGGGTTTATTGTGTCCTTGGACCAATGTTCACTACTTCAAGAAAAATGCCAGCAGCTCAGTGGGAGTGACATTTGAGATCCAATGGCAGTGATATTTGTCCCTGGGAATAAGGTTGGGAGGGTAACCTTGGGAAGGCCTGCAAAAGCTGGGTGGGGGTTGCTGGGGAATGGAGATATGGATGGCAGGGGGATATCCTTGCCTAATTCATCTTTCATACAAGAAATCTTCCCACCTGATTAATTCTGAGTTTAGCTGTGTAACCTGACAGATACTTATACTATTCTTATATATGTCATTCTGAGCCTTGAGCTTAGGCCTAGAGGACCAGAAGTGATGCTATTATAATCACGTCCTTGCTTCTTCCTCTCATAGCAAATCTCTCTAACCAGGGCAAATTAAGCTGTGATTTTAGCATTTCTTACTGTTTTCAATCTATGACTATAGTCAATGTTTGTTCTTAACAAAATATGATCCTTAATAACTGAATCCATCCAAAACTATAACTATTGGAACTTGTTATTTAAGGTTAAACCTTATAGGACTGTAATTGATATTATTCTGAGTCTGATTCCAGGTATGATCATCAAGAAATGTCATTGAGACAATGATCCGTAATGCTAGTAACCCCATAGGGGTGGAGTTCTGTCTCATGGGGAAGTCTGGGAAAAAGACTTTTGGTATGGACTGAGGTAGGATTTTCCTGACACAATTTCCCCATTTCCTCTTAAATGGAAAGTTTCCCACATGGCTGACTCTAAGCCAGGCCTGCTCAACATAATTGAGCCTGCAGCCCACCAAAGGATTTTTGACAGCATGTGAAAAATGTAGGCTTGCCATTGTGCACGCTCTCCTTTTTGTCACATGACCCTTGGCAACCAACCATCATCAGTCTGTCTCTAGTCTAACCCATCTGCAGCCCGAAGAAGTTTAGCTTATTTTAATTTTGGCCCCTACCTACTGCCATGTTGTGCAGGTCTGCTCCAAGCCTTACTATGACATTTTCTTTTTTCTTTTTTTTTATGTAATATTTTTCTTTTAAATGTAAAAACAATTAACATTCTTTTTTTTCCCCTATTTTTTTAAGGCAGTTGGGGTTAAGTGACTTGCCCAGGGTCACACAGCTAGTAAGTGTCAAGTATTTTGTCTGAGGCCGGATTTGAACTCAGGTCCTCCTGACTTCAGGGCTGGTGCTCTATCCACTGCACCACCTAGCTGCCCAACATTCTTTTTTTAAAATAAAATTTTGAGTTCCAAATTTTCTCCCTCCTCCCTTCTCTCTTCCCTTTCTAAGATGGTAAGCAATTTGATATATATGTACAATCATGTAAAGCATATTTCCATATTAATCATGTTGTGAAAGAAGAACAGAAAAAAAGGAAAAAAACTCAAAAAAAGTGAAAATAGTATGCTTTGATCTGAATTAAAACTCCATTAGTGCTTTCTCTGGATGTGGATAGAATTTTCCATCATGAGTCTTTTGGAATTGACTATGACATTTTCTCAATATAATAGGCCACCTATTTGACTCTTGCCTGGGATTAGCATGAAGTTAGGAAAGCGTTTTCCCCTTACTATGGCTATGTTCCTATTTTCCTTTTATGGAAAATTTCTATAATCATGGCAAGTGATCAATATGAACACAATATTAGATCTTTTATCTAATAGGCTAATTCTGGAACACATTTGAACTGCAGGTATAAGATATAGGTGTATAAGATCTGAGCTATTCAGCCTAGAATTATAGTCCTTTCTTTATCCTAAACAACTGAATAGATGGGTACTTGGGCTTGCCATCTGCCTGTTATTTGTTTCATATATATATACATATATATATATTCCTGTATATTATATTTTATTATAATATATAGTATATATAATATATTATATATCCAGTGTATTATGTAGATAATATAATATTTATATTCCTATAAATATATTAAGATAAGGTCCTTTAATATCTCATAATGGTATGGGAATAATTAGGTAATGATATAAGGACATGTGAAGTTAGTGAGGTTAATATATGCATTTTCTGTTCTGTGTTAAAGAAAAGAATTTCAGTGAAATTAGTTAGCTTAAATCATTTTGCTTTTTAGAATCACACATATTCAGCTCTACCGCACTCTTTCTTTTGAACTGCTCAATTACTATTGACAATCTTATACATATGGTTTACATTTCCACATATGAAAAGTAAACAATTTGTCCTCATTGAGTCCCTTGTAATTAGTCTTTGATATTTACCTTAGATCTTGTATGTCAAATTTTCTATTAAGTTCTGTTTTTTTTTCCAATAAAATACTGAAAGTCTGTCAATTCATTGAATAGCCATTTTTTTTTTGTTCAGGATTATATTTAACTTTGCTGAGTATGATATTTTTGACCATATCCCCAGTTCTTTTGCTCTTCAATATATATAGTGTTCTAAGACCTGTGGTCTTTTAGTGTAGCCTCTGCTAGGTCTTGTGTAATTCTAATTGTGGCTCTGCCACATTTGAATTGTTTTTTTTTTTTTTCTTGTTGCTAGTAATGTTTTTTTTCCTTAACCTGGGGGTTTCAGAATTTGGCTATGATATTCCTGTAGGTTTTCCCATGAGGATCTCTTTCAGGTGGTGATTGGTGGATTTTTTCTATTTCTACTTTCCCCTCTTGTTCTAACACGTCAAGATAATTTTCTTTAATTATTTCTTGTATTATTGTATCAAATTTCTTTTTTTGATCATAGCTTTCAGGTAGTCTGATTATTCTTATGCTTTCTCTTCTTGATTTGTTCTCCAGATCAGTTATTTTTCTTATAAGATGTTTCATATTCTGCTGTGTTTTTTATTCTTCATATTTTGTTTTATTATTTCTTGATCTCTTATAACTTTGCTGGCTTCCCCTTGCTCAATTCTAATTTTCAAGGAGTCATTTTCTTCCTTAAGATTCTGGATCACCTTTTCCAGTTGGTTGACTTTCTTTTCATAATCTTCTTGTTTTTCTTGGATTGTTCTTACTTTAAAAAAAAAAATTCCTCTGTCTCTCTTGATTTTTGAAGTCTTTTTTGAGTTGTTCTATGAATTCCTTTTGGGCAGGTGACCATTTGACATTGCTCTTTGGGGTAGGAGAAGCTTTTTTGGCTTCAGTATCCTCCTCTGAAGACAAACTTTGGTCTTCTCTATTCTCATAGTAACTGTCTATGGTTGGGTTCTTTCTCCTTTGCTTGCTCATTTTTTTTTTAAATGGGTGTGAAGGATGGTGCCTCTGGCTTGAGGTTCTTTTTGCTGTTATTTTTTAGGCTTCCTGCTGGGTCCAACCTTTGCACTCCTTTCCCGCTTCAAGCCACAGGTAGTGCCCCTGGCACACTATGCTGGAAATGAGCTTGCTCCCTGAGAACCCTCCAGTGGTTATGACCTTCAGTTCTCCCCTCTGGCCTGGAACCAAGACCAAGAACTCAGCTGTCCTGTAAGTGCCCACAGCCAGCAGCGTCCCTGCCCCACGGCTTCTGCACTTACCAGACATGGGCTGGTTCCTTTTCACCCAGGACCTTGTCTCACTTGCACAGCTGGGCCTGAGTCCCTTGTCAACAGAAGTTCCCTCAATCTTCCCCCACTCAGATGCCCAACTCCCCACACTGTCTGGCAAGTAAAAATGCCTGTGGCTGAGATAAAGGCTACCTCCCAACCCAACCTCCCTCAGGGCTTGCTGCTTGCTGTTTCGGTGGACCTAGCCTGGAGGTGTTTACATTTCACTCAAGCTGAATCTCCATCCTGGGATCTTTCTTTGGATCTTATCTGGTTGTCCCAGGAAGACCACTGTTCTCCCCAACTCTTGCTTATTTTTGCCACTCTATGTTCGCCC